AGGTGCATTTGGTACCTCACTCAAGTGTATATGTAATACTTCTCATGTGTCAGATGCATAACTACTCACTAGATTTAAGACACTAGGTTATCTTGTATATGAAGTACTATGCTTTAATTTCAGCCTTACTAATGCCTAACCAAGGATGCCAAAATAAGATTTTTTTTAGGTATAGTATAAAGCATATGAAGACAAATGAGTGGTCAAGATAGTATTCATCACCCCAAGTGATTTAAAGGGAAATATCTCATTAGTTCTTGGTTGGCATTACCTTAATCAAATCCTTGGCCAAGGTGATTAGGAGATATGAAATGAATTTAATAAGTTTCCATAAAGCTAATAATCTAACAGTAGGAACAAATATACAGGTCAACAAGAGTAAGCACTACACCAAGCTCTTATCATCTTTGAGATATATGATGAGAGAATGAATTACCTTGATAAATTGTATACTGAAAGGTTGTCAAAGAATCCTTTTGCTCTCCTAACAATTGAGTTACCATGATATATTACTAGATGTTAATCTTGGTTTATGAAATTGAATTAGTTAATTTAAAATTGAATATGATTAATTTAAATTAATTAATTAAATTATAATTCAATTCTATTGTCAACATGTTAAGAACTTAATAAGTCATGTACAAAGGTCGCTATTTAAATAAATTGAGAGTGTGATGATTTAAGTTAGACTTAAATCAAATTCTAAGTTTTAACTAATAAAGACTAAATTAAAAGAGTTTAATTAGATATTAGTTAAATATTATAATTATTATAATATTAAGGACTTATTTTGTAAATTTTAATAAGTCTAATAATAAAATTAACCTAGATATAAATATCACATTATAACCACTCTTTTCTATGGCAAAAAAAGAAAAATAACTAATAGTTTTTTCCTTTGAGTGCTGTCACTCATGAGATGGTTTTTTAAAAAAAATTCTCAATTGATTCTTTGCTAGAAATCAAATAAGAAAAGAGGACAAATTGTTGTCCACTTGCTAGCACAAGCCCGTGGCATGAAGCTCTCTCTTTAGGAAGGATCCATTACAATCATGTATGCAACATTGGTGGTTAAGCGTTTAATTGGCTGGCATTCTTTCACACAAGAAGGTTTTCACATTTTTCAACACCAAAAAGAATCCATTTGATTATGATATCATTTTGAACGGTAAAAAACTTTTTTTGATTTTCTATGGTATTTAACTTTGCATGAAACAATAAAAGTAATCCAAAGGTAGAAGGCAAGATTTTTTATTTTGTTTCAATTTTTATTATTCCATTGCGATGATGCTTTAATCATGTTGTTCTTAGCACATATATCATATACATATCAAGCATAGCCTCATTTTTCGTAAAATGGTTTCATAATCATACTAACATCATCTAGCCTAGGCATCATACCTCTAAGCATTTCTCATTATTTATAGACATTTACTAGTCTAAGGATACTTCCTCTAAACATACATATCATACATTTTATTAAAGAAGCATACATGCACACCTAGTTATTATGCCTTTAATCATAGAAATCTCCACTTACCTAAATAACACGAGGTTTCTCTCTTTAAAATTTGTACAATTTAACTCACTAAAGCCTCAAATTTAGCTCAACAGTTTAAAATTCGAACATTAGGCAGAATTCTTACTTCTTATTATCATCTAGCATATAGCAACGCATAAATATTGGAATTTATACCACATTTCTCTATTTCATAGCTAAATTCTAGCTTTCAGAACAATTCTAACTTTTCAACATAGCACATTTTCTAGTAATTCATCACACAAGCTCAACTTTCATAAATTCTTCAACAATGGCTAAATTCTTTACCTTAGGCATTAATTTGGCTCACTTGGACTCCAAATATCCAACCACATTCAAGTACCTTCAGCTACCAAAGCTAGAACATGAGATTTCTACATCATTAACCATTTAAATTGGATAACAATCAATGAAAAGATTCAATCTTACCTTAGATTGATTTTTTTAGCCTTAAATCACCTTTTTCAAGCTTAAATTTCCACTTATGGGACGTAAGGATCAAAAGATAGCAAAAAGGCATCATTTCTCCTTTATTTTCTAAATGGACTGATTGCCCAAAGCTTATCTATTTTTGCAGGTTTTCATGCATTTATCAATAGATGGCATAGATGGCATGCATCTATCGATATATCCTTCACATATCTTAACATATTTGCCTCTCATCTATCAATAGATTTTGCGAATCTATGAATAAATGGTATTCATGCACTTTCATTTCATTCTCGTAATGGAATCTATCAATAGTTTCTAGGCTTCAGTCGATATATTGTACCTTTTTTTTTTCACCATCAATCCCAGTTGCTATCTATGATAGTTTTCAAGATTCTATTGATAGATATCCTTTAGTTGTCTTTCTATTACTCCCAAGTGGACATCTAACAATAGTTACCAGGAATCTATCGATAGTTGCTCTTCACTATTACATTTCCTTGCTTTTATCTTTCATCTATAGATAGATCATGAACATCTATCTATAGTTTATACTTAAACTTCCATTCTTCATAAATTTAATCCTTCAATTTCATTCTTCCAAGTTCTCATGTATTCTCATTCTAATAATCATTTTAATCTACCATTTTTTATTCATCATCAAGGCATGTATTCAGCATACAATTTTAATCTCTCTCTCATGCTTTATGCCACATAGTATATCAATCAAACATAACATAAATCACATACACATCATGCTGATTTAACTACCAAACTATGCACTATACCATTTGTGTGCCAAACATTTGCACAACATCATCATTTAGGTGCCAAACATATGCACAATATCATTCTGGCCTTTACATACCCATGCATTTCATAATCATGCTCTATGGACATAGGCATTCCTCATTTTCATAAACACATACATTAGGGTTCAAATTAACCCATCAACTAGCTTAACTTCCATACATATCTAACATAGAAGTTAAGGGTATTACAATAATCTTCCTAAAATTTTAATTAGTACTTTCTTTTTTTATATCTATATATCAATATATATATATATATATATATCAAATACTATAATGTTATTTCCCAACAATCACTTTTCAACAAACACATTCTATTTAAAAGTTGTAACACTAAAATATAAAACACAACATTATAAATTTTTCTCTTTTTAGAGATTTTATACATGATTTAATGGTATATATAATTTATACTAATAATTAATATGTATGTATTTTCTTCAACTATTTATTTAAGGGTAAAATACCCTTACCTTCTTAACTTTTGATCGAAATTATACAGAGATCCATTAGTTTTCAAAATCGACACCACACCCTAAAAAAGTATTTTTGGCTAGACATGTAGGTCCAACAATTAGTCAACTGTTAGTGGTTTTGTCAGTTTGATGATGTGGTAAGGATGAAAAAATAATTTTACCCTGGATTAATTTTTAAAATTACTATTAAAAAATTTTATTAATTTTTTTTATTAATTACAAAAAAGCTCCCCATCTAGGGAGCCCAATCGGGGCTCCCCTCCATTGGGAGCATCGATCGATGCCCCGTTTTCTTAGGGAGCTAGGAGGTATAGCTTGATGCTCTTTTTTTATATATTTTTAAAATATAATAATAATTTTTTAAATTAATAAAATAAATATTTTAATCTTTTCATAATCTCTGTTAATGATGTTTGCACTCTTATGGTAAAATGCCTATTTTAACAACTAATAGACTCATTAAAAATTTTGATTAAAACTTAAAATAAGGTGAGTATTTTTCCTTTTATTTAATCATCCTCATTTGTCAATATATAGGAAAGAAAGAAAAAGCTCCTCCTATATCCTCCAAGTACCTTATAATAAAGTAGAAAGCATAGTACGTTTCCTTTGTAAAATAAGAAACAAACACTTCCATAGCTTACAATGATGACAAAAGGAGGAAGGAAATAGAACTAGTTGAGAAGGCAAAAATAATTCATTATCATCTAGTTGTCCAACCAAGAATGGCAAGAATTGTATAGCAAAGAAAACTTCTTGGCCAAATTACACACAATAATTTATTATCCCACAGAGAAGGTTCATCAACTTGACTTGAAAGAGGCATGTTTTCCATCACAGTTTACCAATTTCTTCAATTGACTTAATTTATAAAGTTGTAAAACAATTTTAACTCATTCTCTTTTATTATATATATATATATATATATATATTCTCAAGAAAGAGTAACTTTGAATTTCAATTCCATAATTCAGCATTTGTGAACAATCCTTGGCAACTAGGCCAATATATTAATAATATTCTCCATATCTAAGCAGTAAGCAATGCCCCCCACCATTAAAAGAATCCAAACGTACATGCATTTGCTCTTTCAAATCTCTAATTAAAAAATAATAAGGTTTCAATCAAGGTTTAGTTTATTACAATAATCAAATACAGATTTGTACACAAAGAAGTAACAACTCAAATTTTGTTGGCATTACGTCGGTAGCAATTTTGTTGGGACTGTGACATTAAAATATGCAGCAAATGGACCCCATAGATCTTTCCCCATACATTGAACCTGTAATTTCTTTTATATAAAAAACACAAAAAACCAAAAACCCTCACATATAATATGCTTTCTGAACTGTGAAAATTTCTCCCTTCTCAGTTTTCCTTTTCTTGCCTTGATGGAAATCAGAGCAAATTATTGATGATTGCAACTCCTAGATTCTCGCCTTAGTTTCAGGAAGTTCCCTTCTATTTCTTTTTTTTTTTTTTTTTTTGGGGGCGGGGGGCGGGGGGGGGTGTGTGGATTTCTGGGTGTTGAAGATTTTGTGCAGATGAGTAAAATTTTTATCTTTTTTGGTTTATCAGTTGGATGAATATTTTTGATGTTGGGGTGGCTTTTTTCTTTACTCTTTTGGTGATTTTGAAGGTGGGTTTTTATTGGGTATATCAAGCTTTCTGCTTTGTTTGTGAGATTTGTGCTTAGGGTTACAAATTTGTTAATGGATGTTGTTTAGCGTGATGAACTGGGTATTCTCTTACTGCTTGTTTGTTAGCGGGAAATGTCTTAAAAGGGAGAACAAGAAATTCTTATGCTTGGTTTTGTTATTGAGTGCTTGAATCACAGATAGAGCGAGTAATAATACTTACAGACTAGTGTTTAAGGGGAAACAAGTTGATGGAATGACATAAAATTATATGCTTGAATAAGTAATGGAAGAAATCTATCACAAGAGGGATGATTTCTGGTGGTGGTTCTTATGGAGGCCTTGACTTACAAGGATCAATGAGAGTTCATCATCATGCACAACACCCACATAATATACATCAACATCACCACCCTAACCCTCGCCAAGGAGCTTCTGTAAACCCTTCTATTCATGAGGGTTTTCCGCTCACAATGGGGACCATGCAAAACTGTGATCAAACCATTGCGATGACAGATTACAATAAGGGAGAGAGAAGGAAAAGTTCAGTCAGCGATGAGATGAAACCGAGCTATACAGAGGAGGGTGTCGATGGTCACAATGATGGAACTAAGGGCAAGAAGGGATCTCCATGGCAGCGTGTGAAGTGGACTGATAAAATGGTGAAGCTTCTAATTACAGCAGTGTCTTATATAGGAGAGAGGATGCAGCTGGGGACTGTGGTGGTGAAAAGAGGAGAAAATTTGCAGTTTTACAGAAGAAGGGTAAGTGGAAATCAGTGTCGAAAGTCATGGCCGAGAGGGGCTATCATGTTTCACCTCAGCAGTGTGAGGATAAGTTCAATGACCTGAATAAAAGGTATAAGAAACTAAATGATATGCTTGGTAGGGGCACTTCTTGTCGGGTTGTCGAAAACCCAGCACTTTTGGATGTTATAGAATACTTAACAGAGAAAGAAAAGGATGATGTTAGGAAAATTTTAAGCTCAAAGCATCTTTTCTATGAGGAGATGTGTTCTTATCATAATGGGAATAGATTGCATCTACCTCATGATCCACAATTGCAGCGTTCCTTGCAGTTGGCTCTTAGAAGTAGAGATGATCATGAGAATGACGATGCAAGGAGGCATCAGCATGATGATCTTGATGATGATGATCATGATATGGAAACTGATGATCATGATGAATTTGAGGAGAATCATGCTTTGCATGGGGACAGCAGGGGAATGTATGGGGTGTTAGGGGGCTCTGCAAAGAGGTCAAGACAAGGTCAGGTCCATGAAGATGCTTGTTTCCAGAATTTGTTAAACTCCCAGGACTGCAACAAAAGTTCTTTTTCATATCCACCAATCACCCAAGCTGATATGAATCAAGTCCTACCTGACAATACGAGAGCTGCTTGGTTACAGAAGCAGTGGATTGAGTCTCGCTCACTTCAGCTAGAAGAGCAGAAACTACAAATTCAAGTTGAGATGCTAGAATTGGAGAAACAACGTTTTAAGTGGCAGAGATTTAGTAAGAAAAGGGATCGTGAACTGGAAAAGATGAGAATGGAAAATGAGAGGATGAAGCTTGAGAATGAGCGAATGGCATTAGAGTTGAAGCAAAAGGAATTTTCTGCTGACTAAGGCCAAGTGACATGTAGTCAAACTTCATTTTTGCCAGTACTAGGTCTTGATGCAAGATTTTTTTGTTGTTGGTAAGCTGCTATTGATTTTATCCTGGAGTATCACATAAAGAACGGGCAAACTAGGTTGAAAGATATGATGCTGCTGCTTTTATTGTGTAAACATAGGTAGTGATGATTACAATTGCTACTTTTTTGAATTTTGCCTTATGTGAAATGCTATTGTTTATGCTAGAAGAATTTTATGCCAAGGATCTCTTTTGTAGTTTTCTTATTATCATTGCATAAAATCGATAGTTTGGGTGTTTAATGTAATGCCTTCTTTTTTCTCATGATAATACTCAGATGTGTGCTTTTGTTCAATTTCTTGTTTCAACCCTCTGGCTAAAACTTATAAGTCTGTACGTTTATTGATATTGATTAATTTTATTATGATTGCTATTTTTTATATGCTTTTTTCCTACTTTTGTCTTAGGCTGTAAATGTGTTTGGACTTTGGTGTATAACAATGATCTCTTAAAGGTTCCTCCATTGTTTCAGATAGATGTGCTGTTTATTATTTTAGATAGAAGTTTAGGGTTTTTGCAGGTGCTGATTAAAGTTTAGAGCTATTCTGGTTGACATCTTAGCTTTCAAAAGATAGTATTAGAGTTTCCAATTTATGGTTCTGTTATGTATTTGTTATTGACTGGTTTTCTGGCTGGAAGAATTCCTTGCAATGTACATTAAATGAGGGAATGATTCTGGAGGTTTTGCATTTTTTCCCAAAAATAGCTAGTTGTCTTGATTGCACCTACAAAGACCCCTCAACCATTCCAATATATTCAAGTGATAGAAGCTTTTTTGCTTCTGAGGGCAATAAATGGATGCACAAACTGTATAGATATGAGGGCAAAGTAGGCAGAAAAGGCTTATTTGTGATACAAGCATATCAAAGTTAACTAGAAAGAGTCAGCCCACCATTTAGATGTTGGAAACTAGACCTATAACTAAGATGCCAACTTGAATACTTAATTAGCTTGATTCTCTTAATTGAGAAATGCACAAGCTCAGAAACTAATTGTTTCTTTCCTTCCATGTGAATAAAAATCCTGCACTACTAAGCATGTGACCCTCTGAAGAAAAGCTTTAAGTAGGCATTTTAGTGCCTGTAAATTTTTTTTATTCTAACTTTTTGGGACTTGTTATTGATGAAGGTCACAATGCATAAAACAATTCTCACAAGTAGGCCTTTAACTTATAAAATGAGATTTTTTTTTTGTCGATCTTAATTCAATTTTTTCCCCTAAATAATCATCTCATTATACTACTCGATTAGGTTATCCCTTCTTATGAAATGTCTGTCATGTGCATACTCATGCATGCCCACTGATTTAGGACACTCAGGAGTTTACATAAAATTGACAAGAACTAATACTGATGTATTATGTTAAGTTGCTAAGGATGTTTGGATGGATTTATAGGATTACTTGAGGCCAAATAGATGAGAAGTTATGAGAAGAATTGGGGCCTTTGAGGCATTTTCGCCTGAGGTTAAAATTGGGTGGAATAATTAATGGGTTGTAACAGTTATTTGGTGTTGTCCTAGGAATCTGAAAAATACCTATGAAAAATAAATTAAGGCTAGGATTGAAATTTGGTAGTTTCTTAGATGTTGATTGTGGTTTGGTAGATGATGAATTTAGGGCTTAAAGGTGATGGTTCAGGGTTGATTTGTAATCTGAAACTGAACAGGAATCAAAAGAAAAAGAATAAGAGACCTATGCTTAATACTCAGGGTTAGTGGTATTTCAAAGAGAGGATAAAGGTGATGCGGAATGCTAGAAGCTGTTGATGTATTTTTGCTGTTACATTGCCTTCAACACTTGGAGACTAAAATGAAGAAAAATGTTAATCTGGAAAAATATTGCGTAATATGTGTTATTCCTATTTGATGTAAGGGTACATCAGATTGCTAATCATGTTTAGTTATGTTCTATGATAAATTAGAATGGAGAAGATAAACATAGAAAGGCAATGTTTGAGGGTTCTTTAGTCCTTGCACTTTAAAGCAGGACTCACTCTCTCTAGTGTAGTTGTTTGATATGTAGAGTCTGTGTGCTCTAAATGACCTTCCTACTTAAAATTATTTGCAAAAAAATTATAAAAGAATTGCAATTTCAATCTCTGTTTGTGGTTAATTTTTGTGGTTTATTTAAGTTCCTACATTGTCCTGTATCTGATACCAGGGTCTGGACATATAGTTCCTGGATGGGAAGTATTTCTTGTTGACACTATGATGGCAAACATTGCTGATGATTGTGATATACTTTACTCAAAATATATATATTTCTGTGTGCTAGAGTCAGAAGGGGTATTTGCATTCTGTAGCTTTCAAATCCTTGTCTTGAGTATCTCTAATTGCTGCATTAGTATTCCTAGAGGTGATGAATAATGGTTTTTTGTAATATGGATATAGGTAAGAAGAGTTCAATGGATTCTGGCCAGTACTACCCTCCTGTTGTTGCATGTGCAATGGAAGCCATCTAACCTTATGAATTATTATCCTATACACCAACAGTGGAGTTTAAAAACTTCACAAGCAGGTTCTTATGCTTGCTACATATCCATTTAATAATAAATATGATAACTTAGTAATCTTGTATTAAGTTCATTATATAGATAAATGAATACATCTTAAGCATATAAATTAGCTTTTGGAGTTATTAGTTTCCATTGCTGGTGTATAGGGTAATAATACCTTAACTTATAGTCCTCTTTTCCCCCTTTTCGTCCTCAGGCAACCTCCTTGGAAACCATTTGCATTTCTGGATAAACCTGCCAAAGGAGGATATATTTATAATTATGTAGATGTGCTTTAAAATCCTGATGCAAGATCTATAACCAAGAAGTGCTGATATAACAATTTATTGCAGCCTCTTGGGTTATAAAAAGATGAGAAAATGTAGCAGTTGTAACTGATTCTTTTTTTTTTTTTTTTCATTCTGGAAAGTGAATGTTTAAGATTGATCTGATGGTCCATAGCTGGAAAAATGGTATATTAGCTGCAAGCAGTTAGAATGATTCAATTAAGAGATCTCTTTTAACATTGAAAAATGTTTAAAATAATATTGGACTGGATAAGCGTATTCCTTCCTCAATGCTCCATATGCTGTTCACTGTCTTAAAATAAAGTTGGAAACTGCAAAGGAGGTGTCACCCTGGATGCATTTGTTCTCTCCTTTTATCTTGACAGAAGATACATATATTAAAGTGGTATTATGATCTTACTTGGGTTAGGAAAGGAAACAGAAGTTTTGATGGAGGGGCCAGAGTGTGCGGGGGGTTATCCTGGTTGATGATTTGGTTGGTGAAAATGTGCAGGTGATATGATTGCTAATTTAGTTGACCATTCTTTCTGATTCTTGCTTTTGTGTGCTGATACTGCTTCTCCTTTTGGCCAATTGTTGCCAAGAAATATGTGAGATCATTTCAAAAGTCTAGCAGTTAAGATCCTGTTCTTTTTGCTTTTTATCGATAAATGACCTGCTATACCTTATTCATGAAACCAGAATGTTGCTCCTAGGTTTCAATAGTTTTAATTGTCCCAAAACCTCATTTATATTGTGATTAACTTATATTGTTACTCTATATGGGGGCTTTTATCTTATGTTGAATTGGAGTAAGCTCTCTTATTCCATTGGTAGAGAACCATTGGAGCTTCTCCTCAGCATTTAGTTTGAATTCAGACATGCATTGAACATGATTGTGGAATCAACTGAATTTAACAGAAAGCATGACTCTAGAATTCTACAGATATAGTGTGATTAATTGTTAGACATAGCCATACTTTCTTTCTTTTATATGCTTATCACTTTTGTATCTATTCTCTTCTCTCCCTACCACCAATATATCAAAATGGGGTACTATTTTGGTAAGCTACACAACTGCTCTATGACAAACTACTGAATTCTATCTGATGATGCATGCTCTATTTTTTTCTTTTGGGATCTGAAGGGTTGATCTTATATAGCAATTACTGGTAATAATTTTGTCCCATTTGACTCAAAAAAAAAAAAAAAAAGTGATTTGTTAAACCACCAAAGATTTCTTACTATTTCATGCCACAGTAGAGGATAATTCTTTTGGTCCCCTTCTTTTATTATTATTATTTTCTTTTTTAGAACTTGTGCTGGGAAGATCATGTTCTGAAGTTCCTTGAAGGCCAGAAAACGTCAAGTTAATATAAGTTCTTATTTATTTATGATTATTTTTATTCTGACTTTAGGTTATATATTTGTTCTCTTGGGTGAATATAACTGTAAATTATGTGGAACTGTGGAAGTTTATAACCTTGGTCGTGGCCAGTAGATGTGAATTGAAAATGTTGTGCAACCTCTGTTGTTTTCTTCTACTTGTTTTGAATTGTCATCCCAAACATATAACGGGTCTGACCCATTGTCTGTTTTTGCTACAGACTACAACCAGTAGTTATATGGTCCTTTCAAGCTTAAAGATTGATGCTGGCTTAGATTTTTAGTGTCCAACGTGATATAGGTTGATGCGGACCTTTCTTTTTCTTCAAGCAGCTAAAAAGGGTTGGATATATCTTCATGAATTTACCCCTCAATCATTTGGTGCTTTGTAGCTGTATATATTATTGGCATGTTTGCCCTCTATAAAGCATTAACAGGGTGATACTTCCACAATATCCTCTTTTCCCTTGTCTGTCTCAACCAGCTGTCAGAACAATGTAATTCTTGAGGAAAGTAGGGTTGGATGTCAGGAAGTTTGAACCTTCAGATAAAAAACCCGTCGAGGGTGCTAACAGAGCTAGTTTTTGTTGACAATGTGATTGTGCGTAAGCATAAAATGATTTTTGGTTGAATGTGAGCCTCTTTTGTTTCCTATTACCATGGAGTTTCAAATGATCTTGTGTGTTTATGATTTAGTAGGAAAATGAGAGAGATCTCATGGGCATAAATAAACTGGGTTTTGTGCATGTGGTAACTTCTTTGAGGTCTAATGATTTTAAATTTCCCAGCTAGTTGGAAATAAATGGCCTTGTTTGTTAGTTTGTTGTTGTATGACTGTTTATAAATTAATAGATGATAGATATTTTCTTGGGATAACTGCAGAACCAAGAGCCACAGAAAGAAAAATGGAAACCAAGGGGTTTACAGTCGCAGCTCAAGTCTAATCTTTACGGAAAAGTTAGCACCTGATTGTAAGTGCAATGATAAAAGGGTTTTTGTTACCATCAGTTGTTGGCAGTAACTTCTATTGAACCAATCCAAGTCATCTGTTTTGGTTTGTATGTATGCGTCTGCTCCCAACAGTAGATTATTGAACTAATTAT